CACATTATAATCATCCAAAGTCCATAGTTTACCTTAGGGTTCATTCTTGATGTTTTACATTCCCTGGGTTTGGACACATGTATAATTACATATATCTCTCATATGTTTCATACATAATGTTGTCACTGCCCTAAAAGTCCTCTGTGCTCTATTCATTCCACCTCCTCCTACCACCAGCCCTGGCAACCACTGATCTTTTTATTGTCTTCATTGTTTTGTGTTTTTCAGAATGTCATATAGTTGGAGTTGTACAGTGTGTAGCCTTTTTGGATTGGTTTCTTTCACTTAGTGATGTGAATTTGTTTTCATGTTTTTTCATAGCTTGGTAGCTCTTTTTAGTGCTGAGTAATATTCCATTGTCCAACTGTACCACAGTTTACTTATCTGTTCACCTACTGAGGACATCTTGGTTGCTTCCAAGCTCTGGCAATTATTAATTAAACTGCCATATACATTCATGTGAAGGTGTTTATGTGGACATAAGTTTTCAGCTTCTTTGGATAAATACCAAGGAATGTGATTGCTGGATTGTGTGGTAGGAGTATGTTTAGTTTTATAAGAAACCGCCAAACTGTTTTCCAAAGTTGCTGTACCATTTTGTACCACTTATTCTTCAAAGTACAGTATTTTCAAGGTTTCATGGATTTCTCATATCTGCAATCTCTTTTTTCTCAAATCTGAAACACTTTTCTGTCTCTTCTCACCTGAATACAGTTTAAATGTTGATGGTATTCTTAAGATTCCAACCTGGACTTTTTCTTCTAATTTTTACATAATTTACATGGACCGTCTTCTCTCTTATACTTTCACACACTGTTTCCATTTTTACGGTTCCTGAAATTATATTTCCATCCCACATCATTTCCTAAAACTCCAGACCCACAGAGCTGCTGCCTACTGGTCAGTTTTACCTCAGCTATTCTATAGGTGTCGCAACATTAACATATGAAAATCAGATTTAGTATTAGCAACTACTCCTCTCCAGATGTATTTCCTGAATTCCCTTTCTAGGTAAATGCTCCCCTCTTTATTTGTTGCCTAAACTAGATTCTTGGGATCTTCTTTGACTCTGCCTTCGCTTTCATTTCTGACATCTGAGATTCCTCAAGTGTTGTTATAGCTCTTTGCTCATTTTCTTTCAAGTCCACCTCTCTGTTCCCACTACTGCTCATATCTTCCTTATGTCATAATTTGATCATGG